AGTCACTTGATTATTTTTTAGTTTTTTTTAACACAAATAAATTATTTTAAAAAAAAATACATTTTTAATTTTTACGTCAATTTGTTTTTCTAATTTTTTTGCTATAATTTATTTTTAACAACATTTTTTTTTAATTAATTAAATATCTACTGAATTAATTTTTATGAAATTATAACATTAAAGTTAGCAGTCACTTGATTATTTTTTAGTTTTTTTTTATAACAAATAAATTAGTACAGAAAAAATAATACTAAAGTTAGCCGACGTTTTTTATTTTTTTTTAAATAATTAAATTAGAACAAAAAAATATTTTTTAAAAATTGCTCTTACAGTTTTTCAAGTTTTTTACAAATGAAATTTTTTTTTCATAAAAAAAATTTTTAAATGTCGGCTAATTTAATTTTCATACAGAAAAATTATTTTTTAAAAAATACATTTTTAATTTTTACATGTCAATTTTTTTTTTGGCCATAATTTATTTTTTACAAAATTTCTTAAAATTATCAAATATCTGCTAAATTAATTTTCATAAAATTTCACCCTGAAAATTAATTTAGCAAGTAATAATTTTAAGAATTTTTTTAACAAATAATTATGGCAAAAAAAATTAATAAATACAATTTTTTAAAACATTTTTATTTGTTAAAAAAAAAATAATCTAGTGACTGTTAACTTTAATGTCATAATTTCTCTTCAGCACACCAACAAAATATAACACTGATACATACTCACACTGTTAAAAAAATAAACATGACATTTAAAAAAAATAGTTAACATTCCTCTCTTTTTTGAGGTCTAGTGTATTAGTATGTACTGTCTGACAAATGACTATTTATTAACTTTCACGCTCTGCTTAAATAACCATGCAATGAATTTCATTTCCGTAGTTTTTATCTCATAAGTTTTTTTTTTTAATTAAAAAAAACTTGCATTTAATATTATTTAAATGAATAATTATTGAGTTGTAATTGAACGGCTGATAAAATAGACATATAATAATTTCCTTTGTGTCTCATGCCTCGATGACTCTAGAATATAATTTTCTCTTGCATTATATATTATATAGTACGTGATATTATGGTACACTGGTACAAGCATACATGTATGTCTATAGAAGTTTAGATATATATAAATATATATGGATGGATAGAAGTCATGTGTGAGATACAAAGCTTGTCAATGTATGCATATATAATTTGTAATCTCAATGAATCATCAGTTTAAAAGATTGCTCTGGAGCTCCAGAGGTGATAACTATTTGTGATACGTAATACTCTTGTGATAATATAATTTATATGATATGAGTATTTATTATGTTGTTATTTTTGTTTAAAGAACTTCATTCATTGGCAAATATAATAATGCCTTTATTCATTACTAATAATATAATTATTAGTCATTGTTTATTATTAATAGTTATGTAATTATTAATATGGTGATTCATTGAAAGCATGGGAAAATTTTATTGAGAACTTGGAATTCTTCAAGAACTATAGAAATTAATTATATAAATTATAAATTAATTATTTATACACAGAAAAATAAAATAATTTTATTTGAATCAAGTAAATAAATTTGGTAATTATTTACAAGTGGGGTCAACCCCATTTTGGGCCATAAAGAAAAAAATAAAGATTTCGATAGCTTTTTTGCCTTCAAAAGTTGGAAAAAATTTTGGCTCTCATGTTTTTGGATAAAATTTCTATTTTATCTTTTTTTGATAATTTTTTTTTTTGAAAAGTAAATAAAAAAAACGAACAATTTAAAAAAAAAATTAAATATCACAATTTTCTAAAAAATAAATAAATTTTTTTGAAAATTTGTTAAAATTGTGATAATCAACTCTTTTTTTTTAATTGTTCAATTTTTTATGTATTTTTCAAAAAAAAATATATCAATAAAATCAAATATTAGAAATTTCGTTCAAAAAAATGAAAATTGAAATGGTTGACCCCACTTGTAAATATTTACCATAAATTTGAAGGAATTCATCTTCTTGATTTGAGTTAAAAATTTCAGATAAAAATTTTTTAATAAAAATTTAATTTAGAAATGATTTATTATGAAAAAAAACAAATTTTACACTTTTATACTCATAAAAAAAATATTAAATTACTACTACCATTTTACACATTAAAAAAAGCTCAATAAAAAATTTGCTCAGTAGAAAAAAAAATATCAAACTTAAAAAATAAAAGCTCCAAAATTTCAATTTAATTTAAATTTTATTAAAATTGGAGATAAAATTAAATAGCATTGTATATATGTATGTACACATCCATATGAATAATTTATTTTGAATGCAGATTAATTGTATGCATCGATTCTCAAAAGCGATCGGGTAAATTAGTTCGTCTTGAAGAGGGTGATGGCTAGTTTGACAGTCACGACGTCAAGTAAAAATAGTTCTCGTGGTACATCACCGCACAGAGGAAATATACTAACTCACCATCGACAATCATCCGCTAACCTGGAGCACGTGCCAAAGATATGTAATACTGCAGTGTAAGCTTATTAAACTAATACGTAATTAAAAAAAAACGTGCTTCGTTAAAACATCAATTATAATAATCAATAGTCATAACCATAACAAATATGCATTTATACGTAACAAAATAACACTAATTATTTATTATTAAAATAGTATTTAACAGGCCACTTTCAGTCAGCTTGTGTGTTAATTATTATTTACTGTTATAACATAAATTAATAATCCGATAATGACCCAGAGCTTTTAATACTTTGAACTAGATAATTATTCATGTAGAATTGATGTTTTATGTAATTGGCATTTGATTATTTAAAAAATTTTTTTAAATTAGTGGCCAAACTGGAGAAGGTAGTACTGGAAGCGGAGAAAGCAGTGTCTGTGGAGCTACGGCTATGAAGAGTAGTGCGAGACAAAGATCACCCGGTGCAATGGCGCGATCCGGTGATACTTTGGACGAAACAAACCAAACAAATCCGTCCAACGTTGAGTCCGAGGATTTTGTATCCAACATTCATCCGCCGACCGATGACGAAGGAGTGAGTTTAGAAATGTCAATTTATATCTATATTTAATCGATAGTCAATTTATTATGATAAGTATTAAGGCTGCATTCGAAAATGATCTATCTTTAGATATATAATTAAAAAATGACCTTGTATCTTGTGAAATATTGACACTTTTAAAGATATAAGCTCATCTTGATATTACACTCATCAAGACCTTTTATTTGAGTACCCACATCAATTTTTCATATATTTTATATATTTATATATATGTATATATCAATATTATATATAAGTATGTATGAAAAATATATCAAAATGCATGTAGGTACTCAAATGAAAGCTCTTGATGAGTGTAACATCGGGATGAGCTTATATGTTAAAAAATGTCAACGATTAAGAACTGACTTTGCTATCTTGTCAACTAACGATATTTTTGAAGATATAAGCTCATTTTGATATTACACGCATCAAGACCTTTCATTAGAGTACCCACATCAATTTTTCATATATTCAATATATTTATATATATATATGTATATATTTAAAATATATGAAAAATTGATGTGGGTACTCAAATAAAAGGTCTTGATGAGTGTAA